GGTGGTCTACACATAGGGGAAGAGTCCAAAAATGCTAAGATGAATTATGCAAGGGAAGTAAAGGACCCCTCCATGATGAGCTATTTGATCAATAGCATTAGCCGTAGATCCAGGAATGTTCCACCAATAAACTTTTCTCCGGAAGACACCACGAGGGGTCATTACCCCCACTGCAACGCACTGGTGGTACGAGCCATCGTAGCCAGGAATGGATTGAGGCGCATATTGGTAGACAATGGGAGCTCTGTTAACATCCTATTTGGAACCACTTTTAACAAAATGATGGTGGACCACGAACTCACCCCCATGATCGCTCCCTTATACAGTTTTACTAGTGACAACATTGTCCCCAGGGGGAGGATCACATTGGCAGTGGAAATGGGAGAGCCATCATTTAAGGCTCATCACTTCATGGAATTCCTCATTGTAGACTATGATCTGCTTACCATGGAGTATTTGGACAACCCGCCTTAAAAGAACTCGAGGCCGTAATATTCGTACATCATCTATGCATGAAATTTCCCATCGAGAAAGGAATCGGTACGGTGCGAGGAGACCAAATGGGCTCGAGAAAATGCTACATTTGCTCATTAAGAAAATTTGAGCCCTGCAGTGTAAATATGGTCCTGGTGGATGCTGAAATGGTTGACGCACCTGAAAAATGTTCTATCCCTAAATAAGGAAAAGACGTCAATATGATAGACGCTCCTGAAGAAGGGATCATTGATGTGGATTTAAATCCTAGAGTCACAGAATCTTTCCCTGTGAACTTACATGACCCCACAAGAGTGTTACAAATAGGGAAGGAGCTTGAGTCAGAAGAAAAGGCCACGAGGACTTTCTACTCAACAATTTGGACATATTTGCGTGGAGACACGAAAACATGGTGGGCATTGACCCCAAAGTTAGTTGCCACTGACTTGATGTAGACCCAAAGTTTACCCCTCATAAGCAAAAAAGGATAGCCTTGAACCTGGAGATATACGTAGCCTGAAAGAAGAGGTGCAAAGGCTTATATCTAATGGGTTGGTCAGGGAGGCCGTGTACCCAAAGTAGATATCCAATCCCGTCTTAGTAAAGAAATCCAATGGCAAATGGAGAGTTTGCATAGACTTTTCCATCCTCAACCAAGCTTGCCCAAATGACAGATTTTCACTTCCAAGGATCGACTAGCTAGTCGACACTAGAGCAAGCCATAAGCTCTTGAGTTTCATGGTTGCATACTGAGGGTACAACCAGATCCCTATGCACCCAACAGACTAGGAAAACACCTCGTTAATCACTGATAGAGGCCTCTACTGCTACAAAATCGTATCGTTTGGTTTGAAAAACGCTGGCGTAACCTATCAACGGCTATTCAATAGGATGTTTTCCGACCTCATTGTCGATGACATGTTTGTAAAGAACCTCAGGTATGTAGATCACATTGAACACTTGGAAGCTACCTTCAAGATCTTGAGGGAATACCAGATGAAGCTGAATCCATTGAAATGCACTTTTGGTGTCGCTTTTGGAAAGTTTTTGGGTTATATGGTTAACTAGCGAGGTATAAGGTGAACCCTGAGAAAATTAAGGTATTGCTGGACGTGAAATCCCCCAATAAGCCCATGGAAGTACAATGTCTAACAGGGCGCTTGACAACACTGAACCGCTTTATCTCTAAAGCTACAAATAGATGCTTCCATTGTTTAAAATCTTAAAGGGAGGGAAGAGTTCCAGTGGAACGAAGAATGTGAAGAGACTTTCCAAGGGCTGAAGAAGCACTTGGGCTAAGCCCCTCTTCTCTCGAAGCCCAAGGAGGGAGAAGCATTGCTACTATATTTGGCCATAAGCGCCAAAGCTGTAAGTTCAGTGTTGGTAAGGGACGAAGGCGACACTCAGTTACCCGTCTACTACGTAAGCAAGGCCCTCATGCCAGCTGAAACGCGTTATATTGACATGGAAAAGCTTGCTTTGTCCCTTATGTTCACTTCTAGGAAGCTGAGGCCCTACTTTCGAGCCCATAGCATGCACTTGTTGACAAGCCTCCCCCTCAAGCAGGTGCTCCAAAATCTAGACGCATCAGGGAGGCTAATGAAATGAGCTGTGGAATTAAGCGAATTTTACATTTCGTATCAACCAAGAAACTTAATGAAGGGGCAGATAGTGGCGGATTTCATAGAAGAATTCACTGAAGTAACGAACATCAATGTAATAATGGAACCGACAGACCCCCCCAGCCTGAAAATTGTTTGTTGATGGGTCCTCCGGGGAAATGGGATCTGGAACTGGTGTACTGATGGAGAGTCCAGAAGGTCATAAACTTAATTGTGCAGTGAGGTTTGGCTTTAAGTCGTCTAACAACACAGTTGAATACGAAGCACTTCTAGCGGGCCTCAAATTGGCTAAAGAAATGCAGGTAAAAAAC